TGGAGCACATAGTGTTTGTGTCTGTACCATTCACCAAAACCATAGCTGATGCTGATCAATGAAAAATGACTCAGACATTTTTCAATTGCCTGAATTTAGAAGTTTGGTTGGTGACTGATTTAATAGAAGGTCAGCTGGCAGTTGCTTTCTTGGGAACTGCAAAAACTGTTAAAAAACAGAACTGGCAGAGGAAATAACTTTCAACTCATGGATAGGTGTTGATCGAACAAGCCTTGAAACTTTGAAACTTCAACAAAATGTACTTATGATTTCACAAATTATCTTCTTGAAAGTCTTTTAAAACTTAAGCTAGACTTTATTACTAGACTTCAAAGAAGCAAAAGAGAAATTCAAGCCACATGAAGCTATAATTCTTGGAGACTTTGCAGAGAAGTATTCTTTTATTATACAGGATGCTGTACAAGGGTTCCATTGGAAAAATAGACAAGCCTCCATTCATCCTTTTGTTATCTACTATCGACAGAATCCTGATAGTCAGATGGAAATTTTTGTAGTTATTTCTGACTGTCTCAGTCATGACACAGCTGCAGTGCATGCATTTCAGCAGAAATGAATAAAACACTTAAATGAAAAATTGGAGTTGGACAAAGTTGTAGAACAGAAAAAATATAAAGGTGTGAACACAGAAAAAAACTTATTAATCTGATTTTCCATGAAAAAGATTTGGGCATGCCTGCTGAATGACACTTTTTTGCCAACATCTCATGGCAAAAGTCCATGTGATGGAATAGGTGGTACTGTCAAACGACTTGCAGCACAGGAAAGTTTACGCCGACCTTATTCAAGCCAGATCCAGACAACAACTTTATGAATGGGTGCATCATAGCATTACAAATATTGTTTTTGAATATGTTACTGAAGAGGAAATAAAAGAAAAGTATTTATTCAAAGAACATGGAAAAAGCAACCTTGTCAGATTTGGTTGAAAGATAAGTTATGTCTTGGCAGTTATCCATAGCTTGTGTTTCTGGTGAAAAGTGGTGGTTGAGGTATTTGTTAGATAAATTGTATTCTACCAATGAAGTAAAGGTCAAATTTCTCCACCCAGTAAGTCCTGTTCTGCCATTTATTTACCAGAGACTTTACGTGACGGTGAAGAATGCCAAGACCATGATGAAGAAATCAATGCTGCCCAGAAAGAATGTGGGCCACATAGGAAAAGGGAAGACAAGACAAGTTTATCAATAAGGGAAAAAGCACCCTTGCAATATTACAAGGAAGCAGTTAAGGTGTGAAACTTTCTTTTTAAATTTCAATGCGTCCCATTCTTGTAGATCTGTTATTGCTCATTTAAAAGCCAAGGTAAAATGAAACATTCTATTTTATTTTTGTTTGTTAACTCGAGGTGGAAAAATGTTGTGTATTTTACAAGATTTCTGGAGCTGTTGTGCTTGCCTCTGCGTAGAAAACATGATAATCTTGATCCTTTATTTACTCTCTTTCAGAATAACAGCTGGATTCCAGAAAATTGTGAAGATTTTCTCAAGCAATTCAAGGAGTCTTCGAAGTTGCTGCTGCGCAAGTTTGTACGACTTCCTACAGAGCATGCTAAACCAATGGAATCACATGTCAGTCGCAACCAAATAGAACAATGGTAACTATAGTTAAAAACTTCACATATGCATACCAAGGAGGGAGAAATCGTCTTGTAAGACCTCATTCGTAGTACATATCTAAGATATATTTGTATATCAATCTTCCAACTGTCACAAAAGCAACTTGTTGACAGACTGTGTTAGTTCATTTTCCAACTATTTCACTGACTCTAAAGAATGGTCTTCAGGATAGCTTTTTGATGCTTTGTTTTACTTGACTGGAGAAATTGTTAAGGAGCTAGTCCTCAAGGTTTTTAAGATATAGTGGATATGTACGGATTTGCTGTTTTTAGATTGCCCTAGACAATTCCAAAAAACAAATTGCTGGTTTTGGGTACTATCATGCTTTGTTAATAGTGTCATGCTTGTTACCCTTTTCTAATTATGTTCTGAAGGTATCACAAAAATGTCCCACCTCAAGTCCTTGAAACTGGAAGGGAACCACTTCAGGTTAAAGCTGATGGTACCTGCTTGTATCTATCTGTGTCAACGTGATTATTTGGCAATGAAAATAATTGGTGTTGGATGAAGCTCTCCGCTCTGTGATATGGTTTGCTGCATGAGCAAGAGGTTATGCAAAAAGTAAGTGTAAGTTCCGTCATGCATTACAATCATCCAACAGTTTTCCTGCCAGCTCTTGTTGGGAAATTCTAACTACATTGATGCCAGAGTTAACACCACATGAACCATGTATCAAATACAGACAGAAGTTCTACTATTCTTTATCATGTCTGATTTAGACCGATTCTTGTCTTCTGCAGCTTTTGGATTTGCAAATTGATGTCAGCCTGTTGAGCTACCTAATCACAACCAATGACATTGGCAACAAATATACGCACAAAGAGGATGAAAATGAGAGGCTCCTGAACTATGTAAGAGGGGAGACACTTTCGCACTGATGAGAAGTATAGATATGCAAGGAGGAGAGAGAAAATTGTTAGCACTTATTATTTGCAATTAAGCGATTATATTATTTCCATTACGGCCAGCAGCTGCAAAGACAGTTCATCATTCACAAGGTGATACTTTCTCCAAGGTAACCATTGATTTTCCAAGTAATACAAGAGAACATATGCACTTTGTTGGACTGAGCAGAGTAACAAGTCTTCAAAATCTTGACATCTTTAACTCAAATAAAAGTAAAATTGCAGCAATGGAAAAAGTAAAATCAGAAATGAGACCGTTGAGAGAAGAAGCTTCTGTAAAGATTCCTTTCCAGCTTTTTGATATTGAAGACCAACATGTGTTTGAAGTTGTTTTCCAGAATGCAAGATCACTTCACCTACATATCAAAGGTGTTGCTTGTGATTATAACATTCAATCTGCTGTTATAACAAACATTGCAGAAACAGCTTCAATTCCACATGACCAACAAATCAATACAACTTTGCCAAGTTCATAATATATAGAAATGACCACTACTCAACAACAAACCAAAGAAGACCATATGGGTTAGCAGTTTCTGTTAAAGAAAGCCTGCCTGCATCAATTTCTCCTTTCAACAGAAATTGCATTGAATTATCAGTCATTCATTTAACTGATGAAGGTAAGAATTTCTACATTATCTGTCTTCATCGTTCAACAATGTATGCATCAGTTACACAATTGACAGAAGCCATGGAACATTTGCATGACACCATTCTCAAGACAAAGAATATCCACTTATAATTCTAGGCGATTTTAATGTTAATCTTTTGACACTCTCTTCAGAAGCATGTCACCTCACTTACTACATCGTAGATACACAAGGATATACTCAGTTGATCAACAAATACACAACTGATAGCTGCTCAATAATTGACAATATGTATACAGATAATCCTGAAATGATAAAAAACTGTGGTGTCATCGAATTATACTACACTGACCACAAGGCAGTTTATGTTCCAAAGTATTAAGTATTAGTTCCAAAAGCTACAATTATAAAGAAATCAACCACCAGTCAACTCGAAATGAGCAAATGCTGTTGAATTACCAGTAAGCAATTCACCAATCATGGTAACAATTTTTAAACTATTTGCATCTGTCATTGAAAAATGTCTACTCTTTCAAGGACAAAATCACAAAGGCCTTAGAATATTTATAAACAGTGTTCTCGAAAACACTGAATATTTAATAAGCATTCAACTTGGTCTTGATGCTTCACTTTTAGCCAAGTTCAGAAATTCTTACATCACTGATTATACAGTATATACCTAGATACCTATAGTTGCCTATTTTTCATCACATTGATTACTCATAAATTCCTATGTGACACATATACAGTCTCATTCATCTTCATTCTTATTGATCTGAAGATTCATATCCAAACCAAAATTCGAAAAGTTCTAACCAAAAGTAAGTAGGGTATAAACTGTAAATTTACAAGAACTTTTTATCATCTTATCAAATATGGCAAAGTAATGAAATAAGAGCCTAGAAATTAGATATTCCTTCAGCGTGGAGATCGTGAGTTCCCATATTTTCAATCCTTATCTTATTATAGATATAGACAAATTATAGATAACGGTAGCATTTTTTAAAAGGAAGTCTGAAAATTTCACTACAAAATTACATCAATTCAAAATTCATTCTATTTACTTCAACCGAGGATAATTGGTCTAAACAATTAGTTATAGATTGTTTCTCTCAATTTACAGGTTATTCAGGATTTATAACTAATGTCTGCGATGAAAAGGACACAACTCCAGGAAATCCCTATTTTACAATTCAATTAAAAGTTTCCGCAACAGAACAGATAGCAGTGAGAGTGATGAAGAAAGGGAACAAAGATGTAAGCCAGGATATCTTGATCCAAAAACAAAACGAAGGTGAACCTGTGACTTTATGAAATATAACTACTGGCAGACAGGGCATCTCCTTCTTCAATTCCTTTCAGCGAAGTGACCTCCTTAAATGTTCTTCCAAACAAAACTTTAATCGTTCCAAACAGTTACCACTAACTGTCCAAAAAATGAAAAAACAAACTTCCGGCCTCCATTTTGTCCATGGATAGCTACAGTGGATTGGGGAAAAAAGGTTAATTCCCCTGAATGAACCATCTCCACCAAAATATGTGAGGGATGCGGTTCTTTTAGACAACTCTGGCCATGTTCAGAATTCGTTTTGGAATGAACAAATAGAGCAAATAGAGGAGCTTCATACTTTTAACATCAGACAAATTGCTGTTAAGTAGTACCATGGCATTAAATTATCAACAAGAACCATGACAATCTAAACAAAAAT